TGTAGTGTATTGATGGATTAATAGAAAAAAATACAAAATAAAACAAGATAAAATCATTTATGTATTTAATAAGAGTTCGCATTTGCAATGATATACCAACAACACTAATAGAAGTTGAGAATATAAGTAAGCGTTCATATTTGTTAATGACAAAGTTAAAAATCCTAATAGAAACTTGAATATGTAAGTAATAATTTATGTTTATCGTCTCTAATTTATGTTATTTTATTGCGTGTACCTCTAAAATATTTTATTTAGAATTGATTTTACATCAATTTTAGAGATAACTAATATAAAAAATATTTTTTACATCAGTTCAAAAAATAAGCAATATAAAAAGTTATATAATTTCTTTCATTTATAATTGTATTTTCTACATTAATTCTAAAAATAACCGATGTAAAATACTCTTTGCATTGATTATTTAGTAACCAATGTAAAAAGTTATACAATTTTTTTCTTTCATAGTCACAAACTTTAAAGATTCATAACTTATAATACAAAACTTTGATTTATATAAATTATATGTCTATTTCATTTAACTTTTTAAAATATAAATTTTCAAAATTTAATTAAATGAAACTAACATATAAAGCACTTTGATTATTTTGAAAACTGATAGTTAAAAAATTCTTGTTACTTTTAAAAATGTGAGTACACTTTTTATTAGATTGATTAATTGTTAATTGATGTAAAATTTTATTATAAAATTATTTTTTTCTATTAATGATTGTGTAATTAATTTAAAATTAAAGATCAATTGAGGACATTTCAAACTAAAGAGGAATCACAGTGAGAAAAAAATTAAAAGAGATAAAAATGAAAATTTGTTTATTTCATATGGACGAAAAGTGTGCTTAGTAAATCATATTCTAGATAAATTCATGACACATGAGATGGTGACATGGATACCTAGTTAAATAAAAATTCTCAACTATTAAGATAGTCTCTATAAGGATAATTGATTTTTAAAAAAATAATTACTAAGACAGATTTTAAAGATTTATATTAACAAATAATACACAATATATATTTATACTTTTACTACAAAAATATTTATCGATATAACGTATAATATTATTTGTATAAACTTGAACATTAAATTATTAGTAAATAATTTTTTATAACGAGTATTAAGTAACCATTGTCTAAAGTTTAATTCGATTGCCTTGGTCTAAGTTTTTGGACTTATTTTCTCTTTTGAAGAAATTCAAAATAATTGGATTAATACTACCTTTAATTGAGATATGAAAAAAAAAAGAGTTTCCAATAAGTATAATTGATATGTACTACTAATTAAATGATATATTTAAAAAATAAAAAATAAAAAATTATTTTAAGAAAGAAGCATCAATTTAAGGTGTTTCTAGTACTTATAAAATTAAGAGGATATTATATATATATATATATATATATATATTAAATTGATAGTTATAGTTTTTTTAAAATAAACTACTAACTCTTATTATTTATAATATACATCTAATATAAAATTAATAATGATAATTATTTTATGAAGATATAAAATATTATTTTTAATTTAAAAGATGTTATAAAAATTAGTTAAATTTAAATGACATGACATTTTCAGCTTTCAAAGAAGATTTTTTTTTTTTTTCACTTGTACAGTATTCGCATCGGCACAACATATCCAGAGATGCCAAAGTTTCCATTCTCTTGAAAGTGACACAAAATCCATATTGATTCTTTGCTAATGCTATGGAAACCTAAATTCATTAGTTAAGCATTTTTTGGATGGAAAATGGGATGATTTAGCTAATTAATCAAACAGGACCACATGAATTATGAGCATCATATTACAGGACCATCGACCTAGTTTCCATTTTTCCTGTGGCCTTCCAATGGCCATAAGACAAATATTCTCTTTTTTCTTCCTAGGATTCTGTCTTTTTTTTGGGTTGGCATTATTAGTAAATTAGTATTCAACGTTTGATCGCTCTTCATTACAAGTGCTGATCCCTGGTGTCATTATCTGTAATTTTAAAAATAGCAAAGTGCTGAATTTCATAATTTCTTCATCTCCATTCTATAAATTATACCATTTCATTTTACTAAATATCTAGAATAGTCTTCCAAAACTACACACAGACGCTGGATATAAAATTGTAATATTTTTATTAAAAAATTATTATTTTTAAATACTTAAACTCAGTTCTTAGTATTAAAGTTAATAAAACTAAAAATTTAATTTATTTATTAAATTTAAAAAAGGCATAATTTGTTTTTTAAATATATTTGTAGATATCACTTTACTCAAACAAATAAAAGATTAACTCAATATGCTAAATATCTCTTTAAAAAAATTATAATGTAAACATTTCTGCTTCTATGGTGAAATCTGGAGTAGATGGTTAGTGAATAATTGAATCCTATTGGATGAGTCTCGAGTTTTCAATCAAATTGAAGAAGGTGTGGTTTTGCAATTTGATGATTTATATTGGTCGACGTATCGTGCAATGATGTTTTATTAGTTGAAAAATCTGGAGAGAATCTTGATCCTTGTTGGGACATAAAACTAAAAAACAAATAATGCAGTTGCAATGTGATTTTTAATCCTAAAAAAAGAGAAATGTTAAACTAATAATGTGGATTTGGCAGGGAATCAAATGGGGACTCCTTTTGAGAAGAAGAGAGTGAGCCCCATTTGACATTGAAGACAAACACTACCATGCAATGGTGAGCCCCAATTGATACTAAAGCCAAATGCTCATTAAGGATTGCCTTTCCATCTTATACTTATTTACAGAGTTAACTTCTACGCGTTTTCCCATTTTTATTCTACACTACTCAATTATAATTTTTCATAAACAAATACATTTTTATGCGATCAATAGAAGATTATTTTAAATTAACATCAGTTTTAATTAAAAAAATGTTTTAAATTATTTTGTTCTATACTCATGAACTGTGAAAATTAAAATCTCTCCTAATTAAACAATATTAATTTTTATTACGTGGGTTATCACATCAAAACTTAAACGGCTTTGACTGTGTGTGGGGGTGTTCAAACATCATTTTTCGTTGTCAATATGGCACTTTAATTTTAATTAAAAAATAACTTTGAAAAACGTAAAATACAACAAATATATTGGCCTGTAACTAATAATTCTCTTAATAAAAGAGTTTCTACTTTTGATTTCGACAATCCCTTACAAGAGAAAGGGGATTCTACAAATGGGTCCTTTTCATTGGTGAAAGAAGAAATTGCTTATGCTTTATGCATGTTTGGAAAGCAAGTTTCTTGAGGACTCTTGAATATTCACGAAATCGATTACAAAATGAATTCGACTTCATTACCATATTATTACAAACCCAACAACCACCAGCAACTTGATATGTGCCTCTTTCTTTCTTAATTCCTTCTCCTCCTTTTTCTTCTTCATTTTTTTAATTTTTTATTTTTTCACCAAATTCATTTCCCAAAAATGCACTGAACTTTTTGCTCTAGTGGAACTGCAAATGGAGAAGCTAAACCACATTTTGTGCCAAATGCAATACATGCTTGAGAGTTGGTGACAAATATTGCAGCTCATATATCAAATATAGGGTATGGACAAGGGATTTTTAGTCTTGCAATGTCAACATCCTTTGAACTTTGTGAACAATTTTCAGGAATATCATGATTCATGGGGTAACCACCCACAGATCAAAGCCTTACTCAAGTTCCACAGAATAATCCTTAACCAACAAGATTTGTGATGATTCATTGCTAATCAAAGGAACCCTGAAAACAACTCCTTAATCAGTCCACGTGATGAGACTGTCAACGTTGACATCCTTGTACCTTGTATTTGTATACCTGGAGAACATGCTTCCCATGAGAGGTGGGGCTGCTCTGAAGCCACACCATAGAAAACAAATAGATTGCCGCAACCCCACTTCTATGTTTGCATAATTACATTATAATAATTATCATAATACTTGTGAACTATTACTTGCATAACATAGTTGTGTAACATCCTACCTTGCTTGTTACTTTCCTTGCTACATATCAAATTGTATACAACACGTGTCTTTCTTGTTCTTGGAGCAACTAATTCAAGTTATGGTATATATTTTTGCTCAAATGCTTTCTTTCAAGACTCAAGGGACTTTAACCATACTAGAGCCCAAGTCATGTTTGGCTTGCACAACTTTTGCATTTTAACGAATTGTTCTCTTTTGGCACCAACCACCTTTGTACACCAGCAAGTGGGTTTACTTCTCCCATCCATTATCTCTAGGGAAAGATTCTTGAAAGACATTCACACGGGACCAGTATTCAGATAATGACCCTCTTTCACATGCTAAAAATTAACTAATGAAAGTTCTCAAGGAACTCGACCGTCGTATTTTTGTACTAACTTCATATTGGTTTGAAATGTCTTCATTCAATAGCCATAATTTTTTTGTGCTTTATTCTTTCCATCAAATATTTCAAACGTCACACAAACTACAGTTTCTTTTGCTGCCGTGCAATGGAGACATCCTACCTTGTGGCTTAAGGATAACAAGGAATGAATGGAGAGAATATCAAGAAAAATCCTGATATGTGATAAAACATTGATCTTAACCTCATAATTCTATAATATTTATCAACATTACCTTACAATATAAAATCCACATGCAATAAACCATCATCAACTAATCATGTGTGGGCCACAAGACCCTTAATCAAACGTGCAAGGTGGTGTTAATCAGCACTATTTCAATGTCGGCCGATCCAAAACTGGAGAAAGAGAGAAAGAGAAAGGAGATTAATTAACCTTGAAGGGATTGTGATAATCAGCAGCATTAATTGATAATTGAGATTTTCTGTTAGTGGGTTTTGGACAAGTGTTAGTGTGTTACAACCCTTATAAAAAACCTTACTGGCCCACGTGTCATTCTTACATAGAATCCCTACTCGTTCTACCATGCTTGGTTTTTCTATGGGTCTGAAATGTAACAAAACACTAACCAAGATGTATCATCCTGAAACTATTCTCCAAAGCATAAGGACTAAATTTTTATTATATAATTTCCATCCCTATATGAGTTGATGGAGCTGCCACCACCACAACCAAACCCAATCGCACGGCCACCAATAGCACCACCATATATACAACAAGAAAAATCATATGCACCTTCTTTGTACCCTCGTGGACATAAAAAATTGTCTGCAACTGCATTTCAGAAAGGCTTATGTCTGCCACTTTCAAGGCTCTATCATTCTTCCCCCTCTTTTCTTCCATTTTGTCAAGCTTAATTTGTTGAGACAAGATCAAGGATTTTTCCCACACGTTTTTACCACTCTCTTTTATATCTTTTCTTTTGATTTAGTTGCATAACCTTCCTGCTTACCCCTTTATCACATAAGGAAAGGTAGGGAGAAAAAAAGAGTGGTCTAAATCAGGTGCATCCAAGTCAACAACCTAACTATAAATATGGCCAATTCCAAAGGATTCAACTCCATGAAAATTTAACTACCTCTTCTGTAGTAAGGATTCAAACACATAACATGTCACTTTCCAGCGCCAAAAACTTCTTCCAGAGGTTCTGGTTAGATGAATTCCAATTGGGAAATTTTTCCCATGGAAGCTTTTTGTCCAATGATGATCTCTTGCCATCTCTTGGAGCTAGAATAAACCAGGAAACTAGACTACGAAAATACATAATCTCCCCTTTCAATCCTCAGTATAGGTGATGACCCTTTATAGTCACAGTAAGATATACATAACTACTATGAATATCGTTTGCGCTTGCATCTGCTCATATACTATTGTTGCAGGGCTTGGGAGATGTTACTGGTCGTTCTAGTCATATACTCGGCTTGGATTTGCCCGTTTGAGTTTGCATTTCTTCCTTATAAGCAAGATGCACTATTCATCATAGACAACATTGTCAATGGCTTCTTTGCCATTGACATCATGCTGACATTCTTTGTTGCTTACCTTGATAACCATTCTTATCTTCTTGTTGATGATCCAAAGAGAATTGCAATAAGGTTAATATGCATCAACTCTTCTTCCCATAAAGCTAAAATGATTCTTCAACAACTCTGCTTACTTCATAGAGCTCAACCAAACATGCAGGTACCTATCTACCTGGTTTGCTTTTGATGTCTGCTCAACTGTACCATTGCAATCCTTCAGCTTTCTCTTCACTAATCATAGCAGTGAGCTTGGCTTCAAAGCCTTCAACATGTTTCGATTATGGCGTTTGAGACGAGTCAGTTCTTTATTTGCAAGGTTTGCCATCAAGTCATATTCAACTTCATGGTTTTAGCTTTCAACTTTTCATCATAACTTCTATTTACCAGAGTATGACAATGCTTACTAGCTCCTTTGCTTTGCTTTCAGACTTGAAAAGGACATTCGCTTCAATTATTTTTGGACTAGGTGCACAAAGCTCATTGCTGTAAGCCACTAAGTTCTTTGCCTTGTTCTTCATGTAACAATTTTTAAGTACTTTATAAAACTGAATTGCCACTCTCACAAAATTTCAGGTGACCTTGTTTGCAGTGCACTGTGCAGGATGCTTTAACTATCTCATTGCAGATAGGTATCCTGATTCCAAAAGAACCTGGATCGGTGCAATGTACCCAAACTTTAAAGAAGAAAGTCTTTGGGACAGATATGTCACTGCAATATACTGGTCCATTGTCACCCTTACTACCACTGGCTATGGTGATTTGCATGCTGAGAACACGAGAGAGATGTTGTTTGATATTGCTTACATGTTGTTCAACTTGGGTTTAACATCATACATCATTGGAAATATGACTAACCTTGTAGTCCACTGGACCAGCCGTACAAGAAACTTTGTATGTACTCTCAAACTTGTGGCTTCTGTTCTACTACTGCGCAATTTGTTAGTGCCACTCATCTTCTATCAGAGCTTTATATTATTATACATGTGTTAGACTAAACTTTGTTTCTTATTCAATAATACCTTCAAAGTCACTATCAGGGACAATGTTAAGAAAGCTAGTTTTATAATATCGTGTAGGCCCCACATCTATTTGAAACTACAAACTTGGCATGGTGTTCCTGTTAGTTTCATGTTATGTTGACCTTCAGTTTCATTTTTAAAGATAGCTAATTGTTTGCTTTCATATAAAAAAAGCTCATTCAGATAAGAGGAACTTTATTTCTTCTCTCTAATGAAGAGAGGATTGGTTTTGGTGCCACAGAGGGATACAGTCAAAGCAGCTTCTGAATTTGCATCAAGAAATCATTTGCCACATCGCATACAGGATCAAATGTTGTCACACATATGTTTGAGGTTTAAGACAGAAGGACTGAAGCAGCAAGAAACATTAAATGATCTTCCAAAGGCAATCCGTTCAAGCATTGCGCACCATCTCTTTTTTCCTGTTGTGCAGAAGGTCTACCTCTTCCAAGGAGTCTCCCATGATTTCCTTTTTCAACTGGTAATACTAAGATTTCTGATTTTTATATAATAGCACAGTATTTTCTCCTAATTTTTTTCTTTATTTCTCTTTATCTTACATCACATCACTTATCGCATCTTTTACTTCTCTATCTCTTTCTATCTCTTGCTAGGCGTATACATCTTGTAAGTGCATGACAATCATTTTCCTAATACTGATACCCCACATGCCTTTTTTGTTTTTATTTTCATCCATTCCCCCCTTTTTGTTCTTCTTCTTTGGCTAAGATTAGAGTAAGAAGATGAAGAACTAATGTTACAGTATGTCAATATTTGACCCACTGTAATAATAGGTTTCAGATATGGAGGCTGAGTATTTCCCACCCAAGGAAGATGTGGTACTGCAAAACGAGTCTTCCACAGACCTTTATGTGCTGGTTTCAGGAGCAGTGGTGAGTTAGCTAAAGTATGGATGATCTAGGAACCAGAAATTAATATTGAAGAATGTGTCTACTGACAATATGTTTTTTTTTTTTTCAAATGATTACTTGCTGCAGGATCTCATTCGCTACATTGATGGGCATGATCAAGTACGTAAAAATATTCAATCGTGACATTTTTTTTCTATCTTCAGATTATATAATGAAACAACTGAATATAGCTTTCTATCTCTTCGTTAACAATTCAGGTTCTTGGGAAGACAGTTGCAGTTGATGCATTTGGAGAGATTGGTGTTTTATATGGTGTACAACAGCCTTTCACAGTTCGGACCACAGAGCTTTCTCAAATTTTAAGAGTCAACAAAACATCCTTAATGAATGTTTTACGAGCAAATCCACGAGATGCACAAATTATAATGGATAACCTTTTAATGGTAATTAGGATAAGAAGGCCTCTAAATTCAAAAGATGGGGAATATATTGTATAAATTTCATTTATCGCAAATCCCCTTCAATAATAATAAGTTCCTAAATCACCTTCTTTTATCTTGTATGACAGAGATCAAAGGGGCCTGAAGGTTTCGGCTTTGAATATCCATGTACTGATTCTGGATTTGTTCCGCATGAAGTACTTCAAGGAGGCAACAAGAGAGGAAGCTCCTCTTCTCCTGAGTGTGCAAATAATTCCCTCGAGCATTCATTAACACATGAAGGAAAGCACACAATTATTAGAGACTCGGAAACCAGCTTGAGTAAAGTGACTAATGATGATCATTTAGTCTCTAAATATAACATGATCCCTGAGGATAATAGAAGAGATCCCCATGCGGTTACACATAAGGGGAATCTAGACGTTGTTGAAATTCTGCTTGAAAGAGACGGGAATGCAAAGAACCCAAATGCCATCGGGTGGACACAAAAACCTCTGGTAAAACAGCCAAAAAACAAGGGCATCTCCGACCAAAAAATGAGTTGTGAAAACGAGAAGACAGATGAATTTAGAATAGCAATTACGGAGCCAGAAATCCCTGACTTTCAAAGAAATGGCTCAACTAGAAACAGAAAAGATGGTATTAGATCTATCAACTTCCCATTAGAGAAAGTGTACACAAAATCCAATTCAAGAAATTTGAACTGTCCAAGTGATAGAGAAGCGGCAATGTCTATCAAGAAGAGAGTAACAATCCATTTGCTAAAGGGATGCAGAAGTACCTCACGGGGACAGCATGGAAAACTGATAATCCTACCTGATTCATTAGAAGAGCTGTTCAAAGTTGCTGGTAAGCTTTGACCTCAAAATAATTGATTATAATTTATGAACCGAAAACTGAGAGAACTAATATTTTCATAGAGAGAGAGAGAGAGGATCACCATATTTTTATTTCTTTACATTTTTGTTGGGGAGAGGGGAAGGAGTGCTGAAGCTGAAAAAATCTGATGCAATATTCTAAACACAAAAGAGTTAATTTTGCACTGCTCTTACTTTCTCCTTCTAACTATTTACTTGCAAAACTGCAGGTGAAAAATTCGGTAACATCGGCCCTACAAAAGTAATTAGCACAGAAAACGCAGAGATAGATGACATAAACGTCATTCGAGATGGAGATCATCTCTTTCTTCTGTGCAGCGATAGTGAAATTTTGAGTTCGTGATGTTACCAATATGGAAATGAAGATAGATAGTAGCTTCAGGAAAGTAATGATGATCATATAATCAAACATTTTAAGTGCTAAGTATCCAGAAAGATACTGGAAAATCATACAATTCAATTACAAAAGCTGCTCGTTGTTTATGACTTTTGAAACAAAATTTTACATTCTCACTAAAATTGGCCGGTTGCAAATCGACGAAAGTGAGTCATATAATCAATTCAGTCTCCAAGATGTGTTTGCTGATATATTGCATGATTCAACAGTATTTCACAGTTTTTACTATCCCTGAGAATCCAGCTAATCAATTCCTTTACAACCAGAAGTGCACTGGGTTCGTGAAAGAGATGCTAGAGTAACTTCAAAGAAGCATCGCACTTTGTGCCACTGCGGTCCATAATTTGAATACCTTTGTATTGAATGCTTTGATGAAAGAAAAAAAATCATTTCTTCAAATTGATTGGTATAGGATGTGCTTCCGTGTTAAAAACAAATTTATCCAATGGAATAACAGCGCTGTCCCCAAACAGCAAGTATAAATACTTGAGTGTTTCTCCTAGAAAGAAAGTCTCCATTTTGTCTCTTCTATGAGGAGGAACACTAGTTACATCATCCAGAGAACAATATCCTCCAGTATCAACCTTTGTATACTTTTCAAAAGCTTCAAAGATTTGCCAACCCCATTCACGATATCTGTCAGACAAGAAATATATCTTTGATTATTTCAGAAAAAAAACAGGAAAGGAAAAACTAAGCCTGCTTTCACTGCTTCTTACAAATGACCACAAGAAATAAAAATATAAACTAATACACAAAAGGGGGAAAATTGTACTTCGGATCTTTTGTAATTCGGAACAAAACAAACAACGACTCCACAGTCTCAGGTCTCAAAAGATTGTGACGGTCAGCAGGTTTTATTATGATGTCATTAACAAATTCTGAGCTCTTATTTCCTCCATCATGACCTTGTTCAGAAAGTTCCTGCGTATAAAAGCATTTCATAAGCTAGATGTCATGTGCCCATTACATAAAAATGCTATAGAGAAACAAATACTTTCCATATGCAGCACCATTGAGCAGAGGACATTAGCAGATAATGAGATGCATTATCACATTTGTTTGTGATCTTTATCAATTGATGAAATCCAAAATGCCATAAAAATTCTACTAACCTCAGTATGAAAGTAAGCAATTTCAGGAGCCAGACCAATTGAAGTTACTGCATACATTTCAAAGCATGTTTTAGCCAGATCTTCCGCAAGCTTCAAATTTTCTAGATCTTCAAAGTTGAGCATATTGTTTTCCATTGCCTGCTTCTTTGTAAGGCCTTTAGTGGCACCGAGTGCAAGAGTACCAGGTAGGAAACACACCTGAATGAGCAGTATCAAATTTACATATATGTTAGTAGGTACATGTCTACATTAACCAGATACCTGCTAATTATGATCAAAGTTCAATTTCACAACTGAATTTTCATGAGATAAAAAAATGTGAGCAGAAAAAATAAGCAAATAATAGGAAAGATCCTCTGCTACTGAACTGCTATTTGATGTTTTATGATCACAATGTCCAATTCACAGCTGGAGGGAATCCTTAAAACTCAAAAAGCTTCACCAAAAGTTTGAGACAAAGACCTTTTTAAGAGCATTAAAGCCGTCATAGACTTGAGACTCAGAATCAATACTGCTAATGCAAATGTAAATATCCTGGACCAATCACAGTTTGGAAAATGATGGCAGTAATTTCCCCACCATTTTTTTTATAATATCAGCCACAGAATATAGGCTCAATTTGTATTCAAATGCAATTGTTGAGTACAATTAGACATCCTCATGTAACAAAATGTAATATGATTATATTCTCAAGTTGTAAAAAGGCAAAATGCTTTCCCATAACATATAATAACTAAGTAAATGAAGAAAAATCAGTTCCTGATATATAAAACAAATTACAAAGACATCTTATAATGTTTACGGACGGAATGAATTTTAAACCATAGAAATAGCAGAGCATGACTTAGCCCTTAGCATGCATACAATACAATTATTACCAGAGTACAGTGGACATGGGTAACAGTGTAGCCTGCAGGAATATCTGCAGTTTAATTTTGTATAATCTCTCACATAACCATAGGGTGGGAAACTGGGAATATCATTACTTCAGGGGCAAAAGGAAATCTGAATTTCATACTTCACGTACACCAGATAATAATCAATAATTTCTAATGGCAAACCAATCTACAGTTTAGGATTGTCAGACAAATATATAGCAAGTGCAGCATATTACATGTGGCACAATAACTCAATCAATTCTTTCCAGTATTTCTACTGAATGCACTATATCAATTTCCTACAATGTCGAACTTCAAAATTAGGAAGCATTGCATACCAGGTGATCCATTTTTGGGCTGAAGCCACCATTTGATCCATAAGGCAATTCTCCAACAAAAACTAGCCCATTTGGAATTGATTTCCGAACAAGAAGATGCCTAACACCATTCATTGCTTCCTTGTACATTTCATATAGATATGATGTATTACTATTGCTACTAGCTCCACTCTGAAGCCATACTTTAATTAAGTACTCATAGTAACTGTCACCACGAGATCCCAGTCTAATATTTTCTCCACTAAATTCACCAGAATGGGGGCTGCATTTTGTTATTAGAAATATGGTAAGTTAGTTGAAGTATGATGAGAAAAGAAGACACAAGCCTGAAAGTGACAAAAGACAATTGGGGTAATCTATAGAAGCAATTGAACACACATATCAAAAGATTTATCAAGAGTTACTCCTAGGGAAAATTAATAATCAAATACAATAATTAAATGGTATTCAGTTCCATACCTAATGTATATAGGAACAAGTCCTTCAATCTTTGGAAGAGTCTTCATGTGATCCATGACTTTCATTGCCTCCAAACTATATTTCTGGTCACCAGATACAGAACTTAGATAATTGAACTCAAGTTGTAAAGTGGAAACTTCTGATGTGCTACTCAGTCCACCAGGAGCTGGATGGCTTGACGAGTCACGCAGAACAACATCACTAAATGGAATGGCAGTTGGACTGGCTGTAAAAGCAGACATCAGACGATCAGCCAAATTCTTAGCAGTTTCTAGATAAACAGCTGGTTTAGGTCCTGCATGAGTCAAGTTCATTCCTTTCTCCCCACCACTTAGATGGTACGCACTTAAAAGCCCACCCAAAACCCGTATAGTGGTTTCAAATAAATTCACTTGGCCCTTCTTGCTAATTCTCTCAGAAAGGTGTTCTTCAACCCAAGATCCTGCTTCACCAACAACTTCATCAAGACCCATTATCATGGCTGTATCAAGAGCATCCACCACCGTAGCACCTAACCCTCCTAAACCATCAATTCCACGTTGACTAAGCGGCATAAGTTCATCATAACCCATGGCATATTTTCTGTATCCAGACCACGCATGAACAAAAGCTTCCTTGACTTTTTTCTGCCTAGTAATCCACATTGATCTGTCATCTGGATTTCCAGGTACACCTCCAACACCATTATCAGTCTCTTTAGCATCCGGTGGCAGCCGAGGAGGAAGCCTCGGAGGCCGTCTCCATAACCTCTTCAATTTGCCAGCACCATTAATAATACCGCCAACTCTTTCACTGTTTCTATTCACAATTGCTTGATCATTAGAAACTACACCACCAGAACTTGAATGTCCAAGCATAAGATATGCTACACCAAAGATCAATAACAAGAATAGAAATTTTCCTGTACTACAGCTAATACAATCACGCTTCAGGTTACTGGTGAGTAAGCTCTGAGTAATAACCTGTGAAATCAAGATTCAAGACACAGTAAACATTTCTTCCTTTCTTTTTGAACTCATACAAAATGTTAATTAGAAAAGCAATTGAAAGGAATATGGTGAGAAAATAATTGAAGATAATAGAATGAAATAAAGAAGATTAGATTTAAAACATAGAAGAATAGATGCAGTAGTCCTAGTTCTAGGTTTAACAAGTAATTGTGATTGATGCAGAAGACGTTGGCGAAAACGAAGACGTATGGATGTTAATTGAAGGAGTACCTTGAAGAGAGAACGGTGGCGAAACTTGGCGTTATCGTAGTCAACATCTTTGGTGGAGTAGGGTAGAGACTTGGACATGTTGTGGATCGGATCGTGAATTCGAATTGGGAAAAGCTAACTCTAGCTACGAATTCGATTGCGCAGGAGCAGCATCATTCTATGCTTATGTAGCATTATCATCGGATTAACAACAGAGAGAGAGAGAGACAGATGTTGCAACGCAATCGCCGTCTCAGAGCAACTTTGAGATCGTCCAGAAATTCTTCAAATTAGTCTTAATTTCTTTGTTATTATTTTATGTAAAATAATACAAAAATTATTTTTTAAAATGCTTTAGTGTAATTAACAAAAACTTAAAAATTTTAGAAATTAAAATCTTCGATTTATATAATTTTAGTGATTAATCTAAAAGTTTATTCTCATCCAAGGCATTGACTACGTTTTAATTAAAAACATTCTTTTAGTCTTCTCGCATCTCTTGGGTAAGAAAAAGTTTGGGCAGTAAAAAACATGTATTAATTTTTTATATAAAATATTATTTTATTTTTAAAAACTAAAAAATATTTTAAAAAAATAAACCAAACATACTTTTAATTAATAAACTAATTTGTACGATATATAATTATTTATATATTTTTTAAAATTATGTATATTTTTTACTTAATAAAATTCTATTTGAGCTAATATATTTGTTTATATTTAAAGTAATAATGTGTTAATTGTTTATACGTAGAATTTATATAAATAAAGAGTTTTGTTAATTTTAATTTTAAAGACTGAATTTAACTTATAAGTAAAAAAAATTTATAAAAAAATATAATTATTATATTAAAAATATAAAAATATAATAAATACATAATAAATACTTTTTTTAATAAAATTTTATTATTATTAAATATTTATCGTATTGATTAAAGTTAACAAAATTAATAAATAATTAAAGGTTATAATTTGGCTGTGGAGGAAAACATATTTAAAAGTGTAATTCGCTGTGAAGTTGACAAAATGGGCATTTCCAACAATACTTATTAATTTCCCACCTACATAATAGCAATTCACACACTAACTGTGATTATAGCTTTCTGGCTTACCTAAATATTTGAGGAATGACAGAACAAAAACTCTCTCCATCTCTAGTGGTAACACATTGTCTGTAGCATGTTTTTTTCACACATACTTTTATTATTAATTAGAAATTACAAAAATTACATGAATTTTACTTTAACTTAATTAATTTTATTTATATATTTTTTCTAAATTTTAAACAATAACTATAAAATATATTAAAAAAAGTTTATCTAATTTTTTTTTTTTCTCTCATTGCACCATGCAATTTATGAATAGAGAGCGGAGGCATTGACTTGAAAAATGGACTGGGGTACTTCTTTCTCAAAGAAGCTTCACAGTTTATTGGAAATTTATACTTCAAAGTACATATGTTTAGACGTGGTTTAATATATAGCTAAAATATGTTTTATAAAATTTGAATTTTTTTTTAGTGAGCTAATTTTTTAAGTGAGTTAAACTTAAATTTTTAATCTAATTTCATTATTTTTTTTCAAATATCGAGTTACAGACATAATTCAATTAACTTCATGCACTAAATACATATCTTAATTTTAAATGTTAGCGGTGTGTTAATATGTCTTTCATGAATTAAGAACATAAAGGAGAGAGAGACAACCTTCTTTTTATATACTTACTTTGTGAGAGTTAATTAAGTCTAATTTTTTAATAATATATCTTAGAATCATAATATAACTTAAATTTAACTAAGCATTAAATATTGTTTTAATAATTTTATTAATTTCAAATTTTAAGATTGAATTTAAGCCCTAAAGGTGATAGGATTTTATTAAGAATGAATAAATTTATTGCATTAAAATTAAAATATATATAATTAATATTGTTTTAATTAAAAAATTTATCATCAAGTTTTAAACTCATTTGTAAGAATCGAAGTTTACATTTTCTTTATTTGAATGATATTGATATTTTCATGGTGTTAATTATCTGAATTAGCTTCAATCGATGCATTTGTGTTTTAGTCCTTAGCTTAGTAGCCTAAACATTTGAAGTTAATCACTTAGTTGCGTTTGTAACTATCTGACAATAATTACTTGAACTATAATAATTTTTTTAAAATAAACCATTAAATCTTGGAGTCGTACAACATAATGTGTCATTGACTATCTTCCTATACATTATTAAAACAATAATTTTTCGTTGAAGAAATAAATACCATTCAAATTTAAATATAATTTAAATATTTCATATCATATACTATTAATTTATTTTTAAAACAATAAACAATTACATTATGATTTTTTATAATATAAATTATTTAATATTTTAAAGTATAATTTTGAAACAAAATAATTTAATTAAAAAATAAACAAACCCGTGGATCCCGGGTATGTTGACTAGTTTTCTTTTAATTTTACCTTCTCTTAAAAAGCGAGGGAATGAAAGGAAATGATAGGGAGAGAGAGAATCATATACTATTTATTAAAATCTTTCTCATCTCTTTCATTAAAAATTGTCATATCCCTTGCTTTAAACCTTATTCACTGAGCACTTAAAAGATTGAAGAAGCCACAATTTCTCTCTTAACAATCTTGAACCTTACACGTATAGGGAGTTAAGCAATAAGCAATCAAGCATAGATCTCCACTCTGATATTTGCTTTTGTTTTTTCCCTTTATCTCAAAAGCCACAACCACCCATTGGAATTCCCGTTAATCTTCAATCTCGGCGCTCTCACTTGCATTTTTTCTTCCTTTACCCTCTCCACACAAATAATGCACTACAAAATTCACTAACCCCACTCTTTCTCAATATTCTCATGGCCAATCTCACACAACCCTTCAAGTGCATGTGCACAATTCTCTTCTTTCTCTTCATCCTCTCTTCATACACCGTTTCTACACATTCCTCCACCCAAGAGATTGAACCCCAAAACCCTTCTTTAACCACCCTTGCCCACTACCACCAAGTCTTCTACCTTAAGAACACTGACCCCATGTTTTTTAAACCAAGACAAAATCAAAGAGTAATCAAGAAGAGAAGGATCAACAGAAACAAGAACATGAAGCATAGAAAGAAGATGGTCAAGAACATGCAATCAAGAACTTTCTCTGCCATGCTCCCAAAGGGTTTCGTTCCTCCATCTGGTTCCTCTCCTTGCCACAATGATCAACCAAATTCAATGGCTTTCCACTGCCATCTCACTACTGAAGAACCATGAGGAAAAATAAAATAAAGGGTCCAATTCAATCCCACAAATTGTGATCCTCACTTCTTGACTATATTTTTATACACATATATTTATATTACATACGTGAAGCAATTTTCTGAGATTAGAAATATGAGGAAAGTGCTACAATTAATTGATCATTGCTTTTGATCCTTAATTCTTGCATTGTATCACTTTCTCGGCCGTGACTTTACTCACTGTTCGTTTTATTGTTTTTCTTGCTTTATGTTGGTTGATGTTGTAATAAAAGACAACAAGAATTAAACAAATTGTATACTGTATGATAAATCAGTCAAGCTTAGCCTTTAGTTCCTTTATTTTCTGGTGAGCAATGCATCTCTCCATTTATGCATGCTCCTTTCATTGTTTTCTAAGTATTCTTGATTGGTTAGAATGTAAAAGTAATTTGATTTGTTTTCTAGTTACTTAATTTTAGTTCTCATAAAATAATTTTTTAGTATAGTCTATATACTTTTAAAAATTATTAATTTTGAATTCTCTAAGTTCACAGAAAGGTGATAATTAACATTTTTTTTACTAGGACGTAATAATATATGAATTAAATATCAAAACCATATTTGTTTATGTTAGATTTGTCCAATTGAAATGAATTTCTAAGGGCGTGGGGGCACATAAGTTACAGAGAAAGATGTCTGCTATTGAAGTATATAGGTTTCTCTTTGTTGTTGGAATGAACGAATTTCATAGAATTTATGGGAGTTTTGGGAAAAAGAGGGGTAGGTGAAAGAGAGAAATAAAGCATGTGAATTGTGAATATGCATCGTTGGGGAAAGCAAAAATACGATGTTTGTTTAAAGGTACCTTTGAAGTTTCGTGGCATTTACTTTGTTCGTGCATGCAATGCATTGTAGGGACCGCTCTCTAGACGATGTGCCACACAAGTCGGATCCATGTCACAATAAATATATCAAAGTTTATCTTTTCATACCCTGACGCTCGACACATCTTGCCGGCAGAGAGACAAAAACAAGTGTCATATAAAATAAGACAAACTCATGCATGTAACCATTAATTTCATAAAAAAGAAACAACCCTTACACTCTTTATTATTTTATTTTTTAAATAACAGATTAATCACAACATATTATTAGTGTTTCTTTTTTAAGATGACAAATAAAATAAGTGTAAAAATAGGTAGAAAAAAGAAAAAAATAAAGTTCTTATTTTTGTGTCCATCAAAGGTTTATGTTTAAGCGGAATAATAATTAAATTAAAACAATTTTACTGATTGATTCAGTGTTTAATAATAATAAATATATTTTTTGTTTACAACTCTTATAATAATATACTTCAAAACTTTGCGTTAAACTTTAATATGATTATTTAAGTATAACTTCGGATTTTGCAATTAAAACCATAGTTTTTAAATAAGACTAAGTGATCTTTTTCATTACTTGAATTAACTTTTTTTTTTTAATGCAGTAATCATGCTCGATGCCCAGACAAAGAAAAGAATTGGGTGGGTCCTAATCTTATTCGGGGAGCCACCGGACTTTTTTTTATTTGGTTTTTTTATTTAAATTACTAAAAATCAATATTATATATGATATTGTATATTTTTATTTATTTATTAATTTTATATTTTTATATATAAACATTTTAAAATAATTCTCTAATTAAACATGTAAAAAATACTGAAAATTTGTCGCCTTTAAATGTTAAAAAAGCATCACCGTTTTGTCAAGAATGACTCGGATTATCATTGTTTGTATTAATTCCACTAATTTTACAAAATTATAATCAAAACATTGAAAAAGGAACTTTTAGGGTGTATTTGAAAAAAAATCATGACAATAATATATTTTAAAATCAACTTATAAATTTTTAAAATTATTAAATCATTTAGAAATTTCTAAATTATTTTTATCTTATCCTACTAATTTTTATTTTAAAATAATTTATTGACTAAATATTTGATTAAATTGTATCTAAACAGACTTTTAAAAGATGTTTGGAAGAACTTATTTTTATAATTTTTGAATATAATCTATCAATTTTTTAATTTATTTAAAAAATATAATCAAGTTTATAATACGAACTTTTATATGATATAAAATTATTAAATAAATACTTATTTGATTGTTTTCTTTTCTCTCTTTTTATGTAATTATTTTCTAACAATTGGAAGTGACTGTCATATCGATTCATTTATCATTTACATAAAGTTAGAGACAGCATAATAAAAGTTAATTTGAGTAGTGATTGATGTGAGGAGGACAATTAGCCTTTGAGCAAATGATAAAGCTGCTTATCGAATAATTTTAATTTATAAATATTGTTATCACTTATTTAATATATTTTATTTTCTCTAATTTTTATTCTATTTTTTAACATTACTTAAACACCTCAATTTATATCAGACATTTTCTTTATCAAATAGCTAGCACGCACGAAATCTTGGGTTTGATATTATCTATCGATGAATGGATGTTATCTAGCGTACAGTGTTGTTTTCATAAAAAGTAAGAAATTAAATTAAAAATAACATAGATGATAAAAAAAATTATATTAATATATAAAAAAAATAACATATAAATCTAGACATTTAAATTTTGAAAATATTAAAATATTGATCAAAATATTTGTAAATTTTTTATAATATTTGACAAATACTTTAATATATTTAATGTTGATTAAATAAATTTAAATATTAATTAAAAAGTTAAAAAATATTATTATGTTTAATTGGTTAAAAGTTCAAGATACATGTCATATTATTATGTTTAAATATTAATTCAATTTAAATAAACTCCTAGAAAAATTTTTATAGGAAAAATAAAATTAGAATAAAAATAAATATAATTTTATGGTAAGGGGAGTTTACTTTAACCTATAAACTATGTTTTGAATTATTAAAAAAAAGTTTGAGTTGGTTTTATTAGATCTCTTTGATAAAAGCTGAGATATAAAGGATTTAGTACTTAAAAGTTATTTTTTTTTTGCTGTAACTGCTAATAACTTATTTAATAATACTAAGATTTGACTGATTTATTATAAACTTGTCTTAGCTGAACTGTTGAAATGATTTTTGTCGTGCTGCAACATGTTGAGATATATGTCTTGCATCATTATAAAGCTGAGTTATACGTTTAAGTGGGTAGATGTATAACAATAGATCATGCTAAGTTGTGTTGTGCTGTCTGAATTCAGATACCGAAATGGGTCACTCTCGAACCAGCTTGGTTCCTACTAGATTACTTAGACTTTGAAATTAATTGAAAATCATTTTCATGTTGTGCATTAGATGGGTTGAGAATGCATGAGAATGTTGTTGTGAGTAATATTTTACTCTATATATATGATTTTATTTTATTTTATTTTTGTAAGCTTACCCTTACATTTTTGTCTATGCTGTTGTGTGTGTACTGCGATGATCGTACGGTGGTACGTAAGCAAATGTAGCAGATGTTGCATTTACTTCACAGGCTGAGGGGCCAATCGAGAAATGTTAGAAACTGGAGTCGAGTAATTTTGCATTAAAGTCATTTTCCTTATATTTTGAGACCTCATATAGAGTGAATTATGTAATATAATTTTGTGTATTTTGAGTATTATGAACTAAATGTAATTTATGTTGTTCTGTTAGATATTTGTTGTAAGAAACTTTGTTATATTTTAAATGAGAAGTGAATTTTATATTTATATTCTTCATTATTTATCTATCTTAAATAAGTAAGCAGTGTAGAAATAATATTATCGGTTCCTTATAGAAAAGGGTCGTGACAATAATGGACCAAAACCTTTTGACAATAGTGGAATGTAAAGGTCTAAGACGTAATCACAGATGATGATAAAAGTTGGTATCTTATTGACAATGGGGTGAAGTTTGAGAAAAATGAAAATGATGGGAAAGTTATGAAGGAGAATGTCTTCTTGATTGGAGAAGAGTTTCCTAGTATAGGATTAATTAAAGGAATAAGAAGATAAAGATGAATTACTAGGAATGATGTTATAGTGATTTTTCAACTATTATAGTTTCTAACATTTTAATATTAGCAAACATAAACAATGGTTTCTAATAATAATAATTTACAATAGTAGTGTTAAGAGAAAATAAAGAAGAAAAAAATATGAATAGATGAAACATTTTAAAAATTAAAAATTAAAATAAAATTAAAACAAAAATATATCATATACAATAACATCAATTTTTTATGCAATTAATTATACATGTCCTTTAATATTTTATTACTATATTTTAATAATGTATGACTCTAAGGATTAAATTGATTAATAGAAAAAAAAATTTCAATTACTATTAAAAGCACTTTTAAATTTTATACACTAAAATGTCCAATACTAATAATCTTAAGAACAAAATTAATAATTTAGTTAAAAAAGATTCTATATGCAAGATTGAGGTTTCAAAAAATTACAATTTGATTTTTTCTAGTTTTCTCTAAATGTAGATAAATTTTGATATTTTAATTGATAAATTAAATAAAAAAATGTTTAAAATTATTTTATCAATTCATTTGTAAAATTTCAAGTGAATTAAGAACTTTGAGAGTTTCAATTTTTAAAATTAATTTTATTTATTTTAAATAATTGAAGGGTTTTACTAAAAAAAATGAGGATGAAAACTAAACAAATAAAATTAAAAATATAATCAAATTTATATTTTCTTAACAATTTTACATATCATTACCCTTTAGTTAATAAAATAAAATAATAAATTTTTATGTTGAAACGATTTAAAAAATAATAAAAAATTGACATGAGATAACATTTCTATTAATCAAGTGAAGACTAAAAATAAAAGCTCAAAAGTAAGAATTAAAAAAATGAAAAGATTTAATTAAATAAAAGGAGTATTTCCTTCTTATTCCTTCAAAATTATTTCGATTGTGCAGCTTGCAGTTTCATTTGATACCCTAGAGCTTTCCCTTGCGCTTGACGGAGCGCGGGAAAGTGAAAAATGTCAGTGGGAAAAATGGTCGAACAGCTTTACTCCCGCTATCGCTTGCACATTACACACTCTCCCTTTCACTGCTTCTTCTCACCACTCTCAACCCACACTCTACAACAAGAGCAAGAGCAAGAGCAAGACCCTCACTCTCTCATCAAGCAAGACCCTATTCAAATCTGCACCTCTCTTTGGGTCAAAACCTTCTCTTCTCCCAACACCATATCATTCCCCAACCTCACCGGTTTCCTCTCCAACTTCGACCTCTGGCTCTTCGCTTACCAACGCTCATGTGCACACGCCACTGGCACTTTCCCTCCCCGTAACGCCGTTCACTCCCACGTTCTCCACCACCTCCTGTCCCTTCGAAACGCCGTTATTCGCGGTCGTTTTTCCTGGAACGACAAGACCCACCAATTACTTTGCAGCCCCAACGACACTGTCGTTTCCAAGCCTCTCTCGAAACGCAAACTCCAAGCCCTTCTCGAATCTAACGAGCCATGTTTTCAGGACAGGGTGGTTCAGGAGGTTCTCTTGATGATTCTCGAGCCGATTTTCGAAGCACGGTTTTCCGCCAAATCGCATGCGTTTCGACCCGGGCGAAGCGCCCACACGGTTATTCGAACGATTCGGAGTAACTTCGCGGGTTATTTGTGGTTTTTGAAAGGGGATTTGAGTGAGATTTTGGATGATGTGGATCGAGATGTTGTGATGCGTTGCGTTGAAAAGGGTACGAGGGATAAGAAAGTTTTGAGCTTGATCAAATCCGCGCTTGTGGGTCGCGTGTTGCGGAAAGAAGAAAATGGTGAGGAGTTGAAGAAGGATAAGAAGAGGAGAGCTACTAAGAAAAGGATTCTCAAGGAGAATGAACCAAAACCTGATCCGTATTGGTTGAGAACATTCTTTAGTTTTGCTCCTGAGGAGGCTGCTAAGGTACCCTCTTATGGTCATTGTGGAATTTTAAGTCCATTGCTTGCTAATGTTTGTCTTAATGAGTTGGATCATATGATGGAGGAAATGATCGTGGAGTTTTTCAGGCCTTGTAAGTTTGATTCGATATGGAAGTATTCGATTGATGATGGATGTCATAATCCTGCGTGGCCGGAGTTTGTTCCGTCCAGTGGGAAGGAAAAAACTAGGAAGATGGATTACATAAGATATGGGGGTCATTTTTTGATTGGGATCCGAGGGCCGAGGGAGGATGCCATGGAAGTGAGGAAGAAAATTGTTAAATTTTGTGAGAGTGCGTTTGGGGTAAGGTTGGATAATTCCAAGTTGGAGATTGAGCATATTACCAGGGGGATACAATTCTTGGATCATATAATATGCCGAAGGGTGATACACCCAACCCTGCGTTACACGGGTTCAGGAGGTAACATTGTGAGTGAAAAGGGTGTGGGAACTTTGCTTTCCGTTACTGCTAGCTTGCAACAATGCATTCGCCAGTTTAGGCGGCTTGAGCTTCTGAGGGGTGATAAGGACCCTGAGCCGCTTCCGTGTACTCCTATGTTGTATTCAGGTCAAGCTCATACGAACTCCCAAATGAATAAGTTTCTTGAGACTATGGCTGATTGGTATAGATATGCTGATAATCGCAAAAAAGTGGTTGGCTTTTGTGCTTATGTCGTTCGAAGCTCTTTAGCTAAGTTGTATGCTGCAAGGTATAGGCTGAAGTCCCGTGCCAAAGTGTATGGAATAGCTTCACGGAATCTCAGCCGTCCTTTGAGGGAGAGCAGTAACAACTCTGCACCCGAATATTCAGATCTTTTGAGGATGGGGCTGGTTGATGTAATTGAAGGTGTTCAGTTTTCACACATGTCTTTGATTCCATCTTGTGATTATACTCCATTCCCAAGAAACTGGATTCCAGATCATGAAAGGGTGTTGCATGAGTATATTAAACTTGAAAATCCCAAGTTTTTTTGTGAGTTGCTCAGATCTATTAAGCAAAAAGGCGTAAATCTTCCTCAAGATGAAATATCTCAAATGGTATGGGACTACAAAACTTTTGGGGTTCGTTATTTTCAGCCTAACAGAGAAGATAGAGAAATAAAACCTGATTTAAAGGAGATAAATGGGTAAACTTGGCACTGATCCAAAATTAGTGGAATCTTCCAGTATCAAGGTTCTGCTTCCAAATTCATGATCTCGTAGGGAAAAAGGTTACATGCATTGTTGAGCCATATTTTTGTTGAGTATTTGAGTGTAAAAGTCCTTCAAATACTATTCTAGTAACAAATGTGAGTCCACGTTGAATTATCTACATAAATGGTAGATTGCGTCCATTGGAAGGGTGCGTGGCTCAGATGGCAGTGATGTCATTAACCACCCAGTACTGACAATTTAGAACACGACAACAGGTATAACAGAATTTTTTAACACTGTTGAATTCCTTGTAATTGATGAATTATTTTCACTACAATTTATATGGATTGATTTTGAGTTTCCTTGAGTTGTTTATCGAATGTAAAATTGTGAAGAACACACAAAATTGCAAAAGTACGAGTGAGAATCATTGAATTAAGAGTGAGATTCATATGACTTTTGTAGTTTTCAATAAATTTTAACTAACAATAAAAAGTATAAGGAGTGTATTTGAAAGAATGTGTTAGACAGGATGTTGCCAATATTTCTCTATCGTTCAAAATATCAATAAAGATTTGTTTGCTAGTTATGTCACCAGCGGCACTGCTTACACATTTGTATCTGATTTGATCTGTGCTGAACATTTGCCTACAGATTTCAATTACTTAAAAAAGAATATTAATGAAGTATTCAAGAGGAACTTTTTACGTGGGATATCGGGAAGTGGAAGGTCTCTTTTGGAATAGGAAGAGGCAATTTCATCTACTAGTAAATTTTAACTGCTGTGGGCTAAATTTGTTGGACATCAGTTGTTGATAGTCTATAATCTGTAATAGCTGAAATTCATAGACGTTCAGATTCTTTCCATGATCAATATATTGTATTGGTTACATATTTTCTGTAACTTTATAACGAATCTCTGCCTTTTGTTTATATTGTTTTCATTGTTTTTCTTTTTAATTTGAGTTTGTATACCAGTTGTAGGCCGCAAGTCATGTCTAGCGTTGGAATCTGTAGCACAGATTTGCTTACCTATATAACTATTTCCTAAGCTCATCTCACAGTTCAAGGTGGATCGACATTTGGTGCTGGAGTTTAGCATTTTATGTTTGAAATTTAAAGTAATATTAATTATTTAGATTAATCAGTTATTTTGCATATATGATGATCTTACTCGTGAGGATATGCTGGTATACTTGCAAGTGCTTAAATTGTTTCCCAAATGAGATTAATTTGATGAATCACTTAAAAATTCATGCGAACGAAGAGGTAATATAACATTAGATTAATTGTGTAAATATCGTTATTTTCTGCCAAAAAGAAGCTTTGCTTTAAAGTTTAAGTTAATTTGTATATTATGCAAATGAATAGCGGTAACTTGTATTATCTTTGGAATTGACTTGGAGATTGCACGCGAAAGTGGTTTTAAAGCCACGGCAGTTAGCTGAGAATGTATCTCTATTATTGTTTGTTTCAATTAGAGGAATTGGAATTAGGAAAATCTTTTGAAGTATTTGAGTTGAATGAAGGAGTAAGAAAGTCTTTATATTAAATTCATTAATCAAGATTGAAAACTATACTTCAAAACAGGTGGACTTGTGCGATCCTACTAAAATATTCAAGGTGAGTAGAAAACAAATATAGATTTCATCGGAATTGTATGATGGCTTTGATTAAAAGATGTTTTTTTACCGGTGGAGGACCAGACCATATCAGGCATCCGACTAATCTGGGACTAGCCGGGTAAGAACATCACAACTGGTTGAGCTCTTTCATGTTTTGTCCAACAATAGTTTCGTGGACTCAAATTCGTTTATAGGTAAAAGATTTTCTTCTAAGCTTTTTTTCCGTTGATTGCAAAGCAATTCTAACATGCTATCCTCTTATTGTTTTAGTGTAAGATAAAACTTAAGTGCATTACTATATATGTTATTGGTGTTATTTTCTAATCAGAGTTAGAGTTTTACTTCAATAACATGCATAATAAATATTTCCAACTCTAATTGAAAAAATCACAATCACATTTAAGTTTTTATCTTTAATGTACTATACTAAAATAATAATATTAATGCCATCTCAGAACTTTCATTTCTTGTAATTTGAATTTTTTTAGCTTTGAAAAACTTGGGTCTCAACGAAAAATTTTATATGTGAAAAGTGTGCAACCTCCATTTTCCTTGGAAACCAAACAGGCCTCTATTAGTTGGAGGGAAAATGCTTATACATGAGATGAAGAAAACCTTGATTGATGTCTAACTTCAAAGAAAAGATATGATTTTTATCATTCGGAGTACCACTGTTCGACCAGCTTCCATTTACATCCATCCCAGCTGCGGTAGAAACCATCCTTTTTGACCGACCAATAAATGGTGTGATGGCCTTTGTCCATCTTTTCTTCGTATGCGTCCCAAGTGGTGAACAACGACATCCACATGGCAGTGCATTCCAAATCTTGATCCACCTTGAGAGTTGGGTTGTGATGATAACCTGGTTTAAGATAAAATGAAGCACCTTGGTCGCAACTAAGTGTCAATTGCACCTTAGTTTTGTTGGGCAGGTCATTCCTAATGCTAACCACGGCGGGTGACCTCTGATACCTTGCAAGTGTTGATGTGTTCAGAAAACAGAAGCAGAGAAATAATAGAGAAAAGGCAAAGATGTAATCACGAGAAGCCATTGTTCTTTTGATGGTCATTGAAATTGGTCTTTAATAGAGTGTGAGGAAATTAAATGGTCTTTTCATGGTTTAATTTTTTTGGTTGGGCTCTACAGATCATGTAATTCCCGCTTGGTGTACCATTACGTTATCTGCGTTATCGAATTTTTTATGGTATGCTTCCGGGGCCGTCGTCACACTATAAATCAATCAATATAAAAATTATAGCAACAAGATATACATTTGATTATGTTATTTTTTATAAACATTTGTTAGATATAAATTTTTATCAAATATTTTTAAGTAAACATTAAAAACTTAAATTAAGAAAGGGAATATTGTTAAAAGTATAAGTAATTTTAAATCCTCCAACATTATATGCCTACAAATCTTATTAACTATTAAATAAAATATATTAAATGATTTTTTATATGTAAAAGATAATAAATATGTACATATATAATGCATATTTTATAAAAGCTTTTTTAAAAGCTAGAATGATATAGTAAAGTTCTTAAAGTAAATATTCCTTTACTCGTCTTTTGAAGGAAAATAATGACTCTTGTTTATTAAAATTAATTGAATTAGAATTATTTGATATACACATTTATGTATTTGCATGTTGTAACTCTCTTTCAGAGCATCTTCCCGTGTGTCTCAAAGTTTAAGAATTTCATCAGGTTGGAAAAGAAATGTTAGTAATATTTTTGTAATATACTTTGTTTGATTTTTTAAATATATATATATATATATATATATTTGAATTTTTTTTAAATTATTATTTCAATTTATTAAAATAAGAGCTAATCATTAAAAATTATTAAATAGTATATTAAAAATAGGGTATGGGTAACATTTATTTCTCTTGTTGGAAAATTCAAACAGAACAGTAATGATGCAGCCTCGAAGTGTTTGATGATAAAAACCCTGATCAGATGAAAAAACAATAATTATTTATAAAATAAATCGAACCAATTACGTATTAACGAAATATCTTTGAATTTTGAATAACGTAAACGTTTGTTCTATGTGACATAAGATCAGAACGTAAACCTGTAAACATATATGTAAGCCATTAATACACTGAACCTCAATTCTCAAGCTAATCTAGGAAAAAAAATTCATCCCTTAATTATTTAGCTATTTCTTGAGCATGTTACTGTGATGTTCGTCTTGGAGAGCGAATGCAGAGAGAGGAAAGGAGCGAGCAATCCCAGTGGGGTTAGCGAAGGATATCTTATCAGAAGAAGGATCATCGACGAAGATTTCAGAGATAGTGACCCATATGAAAAGCTCTTTGGTTTTGACCCCTGTCACCCTTCTCATGCGGTGTTCCTCAACGAACGCCGTTACCTCCGGTTCGTAACATACGGTGCGTCCAATGGCGTCGAAACGGTGTTCCTTCTTGTGCTTCTGTTTGAGCCACACGAAGCCTGTGATGCGGTTGTAACCCATTTCTACGATGTTGTCTAAAGGGAGTAACCCTCTTGGAAGGAGAATCTCGTCGAGAAGAAGCCGTGACTTTTGCATGCACACTGCTTCTCCCTCGTAGATCTCAGCCTCTCCTCTGTGATGCGCTATTTGTTGGGTTGCCATCTTTTTTGCTTGATCGATCGATGTTGGAATGGGACAATTATGAGATGAGAAATTTTAGTTGAAATTATTGAATTATAATCGAAAAATAGGAATCCAGATGTTTTATGTTGTGGTAGCCATTAAATTTAGAAACGAACGATGAAAAGAAGATTCTATCAGAGAGTTTGGGGGGTTGGCATCGGATTGAGTTATGTGTATGGGTCAAATCACTTCACATTTTACTGGTGAAATACCGCCGAGCTATTGTCATGATTTTTGTGACACAACACAATACACATCATTTTCTTATCCTTTCCCTAACGCCCATGAATTGCCTTGCTGTTGTCAAAACCCAACAATCATCCTATGCCTTTTTTTTTATATGGGATTTCTAATAAAAATTTTGGAAATATGATAACTTTTTAAAAAAGGTCATTGAGTTCAAAAACTGTCATTATATATATTTGTTTATGAATTGTTGGAACTGAACTAATTTCATTTGATATAAGTTTTATCAGCACAACATATAGTTCAATAATTTGCTAACTAAAACTATTGATGCTGTTTTTTTTATACCTATCTTATATATTATTAATTATCCATCATTTTTATTCTGAATTTTCTTCCTTCAAAAGGTATGTTTATTTTAAATTTAAAGTGTTGAATTATATTATATAAGTAACTAAATAATCAGCACATTAAGTTTATATTAATTAGTTTATTATTTTATGCTTTTATTTCAAAAAACATAAAATTAAAACGAAATTATCTTTCTATTATTTATCTTTCAAACTCTCCAAACTTACTCTATGTTGTATCGTTTAAAGGGACGATGCATTTTATTTATTTTTTTAATACCTTTCAAAAGCAAGATACATTAAGGCAGGAACGTAGAGAAACGTTTATAATATTTTTTTTATGTATAACTTATCTTTTTTGTTAATACTTAATCATATTATTAAGCGGCATTATCGTTATGCGATTTTCAATATAAAAGAAATAACATTCATAAAGGAACCATCAAACTTTGAATAGAAGTTTTTCATTACTGTTACTTTCTTTTCTCCTCGACGTTGAAGAGGAAGGTATAGAAAGAGTGAGGGGTACGTAAATTTGATACTTTCTTAACTTTTTTTCATTTGAAGCTACCTTGGGGTGATGAAACCTATTTATTTAAGAAACAAATCATTCTGATAATGATTGCATTATTCTTTACACAACTTACAACAACGAGGTACACAATTCAAAGATTTAAAAAATTGATCATAGAGAATAATACTATTTGAAAACGAATAAATACATTCCTATTAGCTTGTAACAGGTTATCAGCTTTTCCCTATTTAAAAAGGAATTATTCTATATTTTTCCTTTTCATCTTTTCTTTTTCATCGTTAATTGATTCCTTGAAACTATTAAAAGGCAAATCCAACTATTAGCTTCTTTTACCTTTCTTTGATTTTGTAATTTTGACCAATTTTATGGTCTTATGGGGTCATTAATCATTGGATTCACCCCACATAATGGAAAGATACTTCTGGCACTTGCTGCAACAGCTGCCGTTCACATATAACAAATCTGGGTCTACCCTTTTGGTTCTTCTTGAAGTGGACACTTTCTTGACAGTGGTCCCATCACTATTCTTGAGATTGTGTCTGTACTCCAGTGCCACCTGTTCAAATACTTCCACCTCAAACATGTTCAGTTTCAGGTTGGGCTTCATGTGATCTCTAACAAATGCAAAGGGTAATTGGTCTCTTGGGTTAAATGCCTCCAACTCATTAAATATGAGGCAGGAGAAGAGGTTACTGCTCACTCCATGCCTCCTCAAGATCAAAGCACTGTCTGGTACATCTACCAAAAACAATTAAAAAAAAATACCATAAATTTTTTGGGCATAGAAGGTAGGACAAGAGTTTGGTAAAATTTTAGGTGTTTTTTGTAATATTATTTTATTAAAATAATAATTTTATCTTATTAAAAGGTGAACATTTAATAGAGCTACATATTATTGAGATAAAGTTTCATTTTTATTAAAAAATAACTCAAAAATATCCTAGAAAGTGCATGCAAAATTTATTCTGAAAAATGGCATGATTTGGAAGCCACTTTAATTTCTCTCATAATCTAATAATGATTACTGTTACTTTTTCATGTATTTATTGCTATTTTTATTTAAAATACCGTTTTCCATTGTTAATCAAATTAACCAAAAAAATTAATTAAATGAGAATAACAATGAACAGAACTTCATTATCTGAATGGGACTTGAGAAATTCATTCTTCGGGATAAAAAGAAAGCGGATGCAAAATGATAAACATAGAAGCCAAAGTGGAATAAAAAAAATGATTCAGCGAAAGGACAAAATTAGGTGCAAAACTTAACATATGCATGTGAGTCTTACCAATCCATGTTTTAAAAAATGAGCTACTATTATTAACAAAATATGTAACAAAGAAGGAAAAACAAATTTGAACTACTTTATATGGCATGATCCAATGCTTGGGCCACATTTGACGGTGTAACACTACAACTTGTGGACCATGATTTTGGTGATCTACTTTTATTAATGAAATTTAATGCACCTTTATTTCCTATTAGAATCTGAAATCTTATTCGATAAAAAAAATCTTAAATCTTAAGCTTTTTTCCTTGTAATGTAAAAAGAAATCTAATGAGTAGCGACATAACTTTGAATAGGTGCCAATGTCCTCAGATAGGACCTAAGATCAGTTTCACAGTTTGATTTTAACGAAAGGAGTTCATGAAAACTAGCCAACAGAAGTGAACTACCCCATATGAAAGAAAAACCTTCCTCCCACAAGCCTTCACCATTGAGACATTGCAAGGCTCATAGGCTACATTATATTTATGATCAACGGCGGTACAAAAGATCTCACGTTTCTTTAAATACTAACATCGCCACAGCTCTTGTAGATAGGAACTTGTTAAATTTAAAGTGTACTTGGTGAAGTCAAAAGCTACATGTGATATAAAACCTTCTATAAAGTTAATGACATAGTAGACTTAAATATGATTTATAAATTTGGTTTGGTTTTAAAGTTTAACCTACAGTTGTTACTAATTTGCACAAGCGTGAGCTATCTCAAACCACTTTCTACGTGGATTGTTTCACATCTTCATTCTTATGTGTAGTAAAGTTTGGGCCCAAATGTTGAAAGAATATTTCTAGTAAGGTTTGCATAACAAATGAAAGAAAAATATTTGGTAATATTTGAGGTGTGCGCCTAGAAAAAGATAGAAAGAAAAGATAAGGGTGATGAGTGATGTGATAGTGAGAAAAGGAGTGTGAGAGAGAGATGAGAATAGTTACCTGAAGCATAGGGCTGCTTGTTGGGACTCCATGGTTGCAATCCATTTTCACAGTATGTTTCCATTTGCACCTTTAAGGCATTAACATCCCACCATTTCTTCCACCTTGCAGTTGCCATTGCTTCTTCCATGGTATGAACATAATAAGGGTGTCTTGATATAGCCATGTCTACATTCTCAGATATAACAAGTGAATGAATCAACAACAACGGATCAACCATTAGTTGCAACTTTGCATCTATCCAAATGCTAAATTTAGAATTTGGGAATAACCTATGGACTAAATATTTTGGTATAACCCCATTCATTGCCGGGTTTTGATACAAATCCTCTCTTGAAACCTTCACAACCCTCCATACACCTATCTTGTATTCTCTAGATTTTGTTGAAATCATTCCATGGTGTTCAAGACCTTTGAGGGTAACATCATCTACAAACATGAAGAAACACACATCTTCCAACGTTTTTGACCCAAGACCCTTCGGTTGTCGGATTTTGTCATGATCATTGAAGATTGCTGAAACCACTACTACACTATCACACTTTTCCATTGCAATTCGATCTACATCAAGAGACAAAGCATATAACATAATCGAAATACCATAAAAAGTAATTCAAATGAATGTTGATTTTGTTGGCATATTATGACAATTTAAATAATTTCTAGGATTTATATTATAGCCAGTGGAAACTAAATGGTTTAATATTTTTAGGGTGAATTGAGATCTGACAAGTGACTTCATGTGTAACTGACCAGAATCACTGATTGGAAACTTCTTCAGAAATCCGCATGGAACTTCTGTGCTATCATTTTGATGATCAAAATATGAAAACCTCTTAAGGGTGCTGAGATTCCCACCGAAACTATCTGCATTCCCCTGCATGTACCTCAGAACCCCTGAATAAGCTTGAGATTTTTTCTTCCGGTAATTGTTGATCTCCTTTACAACATTCCAGTAATCTGAATTCATAATCGGCGACCCATTAAAAAAAATGATTAACTCGATCATTTAAATGTATAAAATTCAATGGATTGGATCGTGGGTAATTAACTACCAGAAAAGAAAACAGGGGAAGAGCATGTAGAACGGGTGGTTGAGACAGCATATTTGTGCTCTCCATAGGAAGAAGGGTAAGAGAAGAGAGAATTGTGGATGGGATCCAAAGGGGATGATCGGAAAAAGCACTTGGACTGAGACAAAGTGGTGTAAAGAGCAAGGAACAGAGTGGTGAAGAGATAGAGAAGAGAAAAACAGAGGAGCTTTGATTGGAGGATGATAGGTTTGGAAGTTGTTATTAGTCTTCCCATAATAAAGTGATTATTTTCTCTGGGGATTTCTCTTCCATGGGTTTCTTTTCAATTCCACTTTGTTCAGTGAGGGTTGATGATGTTGCATCATGCATGACCCAGAAGCGGTTACTTGTCAATTTCAACAATGTAAATTTTGTTCCTATTTAGGTGGGCCTTCTTCTAACCTAGTTGCATAACAAAAAGCTCGAATTGGTTGAGAAATATATAAATAAATAATATTTTCTTAATCAAAAGAACTAAATAATTAGTTGGTCGACAAGTAGGTAAATAAATTCCCTAGTTGCTTAATATTTATGTTGTTTTTGGTATTTTTAATGCAATGTCAATGTGATAACTCTAAGGTTAAATTAATTTAACCTCCAATGTCTTAATTTTTCTAATTAAGTATTTAAATAGTTATTGAAATCTTTAAAGTGTTGAAACCTCCGCTAGCTATAGTGAATCGATACTTGTAATTGGATCATTCTCGGTTGCAATAAAAGCATTGGTTTCCTCACAGCTTTGTTATCAATGGGGACATAACCAACCTTACCTATCTAGAATCATTCAATGCTCTCCTTGCTACTTTTTTTCAGTAAGGTTATTATAATTTATAGAAAAATGCATAAAAATAATTAAATAATAAATAATATGATAGTACTCTTTTTTTATAGTATTATTACATTTTAAACAGCTTTTTTAATCTAAAACTCTTAACTTATTCTATTTTCTATTATATCAACAATTGACATTATGTATATAGTAATAATTTCACATGCTATGCACGAGTGTGTTTGTTAGAGAGAGAGAGAGAGAGAACTATGATAAAAAAAATAAGAAAAAAGGACAAAAAAAATATAAATGTGAATATAAAATCATTAAAAAGAAGTAAAATAGAGTGAAAGAAATAAAAAAAAAATGGCGTTGAAATATAAGTGTTTTTTTTTTTTTGTCAAAAAATATAATTGTTTTTAAATAATAGAATTTTGGACCATGCAAGACAAACTTTTGACTAGGAGCCTTGGTCAAAGGTCTTTGGTGGAGCACGTTTGATTTTTGGTTATGCGCACAAATCGAATGGTCCAGAATGGATCTTGATCTTATAAACAACCCACTAACAATAAGAACAACCAAAACCAAAAATAGCATTATGCAATATCATCATCCCTGTGAAAAGTAAAAACTTTGCGTAGTTCTCACTCACAACATCCCACCTAACCTTCTAAGGAATTTAGGGATTTAGAAACAAATAATTAAAGACATCTGTAGAAAAGATGAAACACTGATGAAAAAAAAAAGAATACAGATAACAGAAGTTTGATGGCATTAGTATCTAGACTTAATTACAAAATTTTCATAACTATAATTAAAAGGTTTTTTTGTTATTATAATTAAAAATGTTTTAAACTATTGAGATTTTGTTAGAAGAATTAACATATATATTGCACTAATCTTACTATATTGATAATGTGAACGTTTATAAGTATAATTAATTTATATGATATAAACTTATAATTCAATGAAAAAATTTGTCAATCAGAGTAAATTATATTTATACCCCTAAAAGTTGTGTGTATATATTTACGAATATTTGAATTAAAAAAATTGGTACATATAATTATTAAAATAAAATAATATAATATTTATTATGCTTTTTATAATTTTTCCTATGTTTGATTTTTTAATCAATGCCCTTAAATCTGTGTAACTATAATTAATGAATTACGAATTTAATATCTTTCTCATGCAAAATTGAGTTACTTTTTTTTTATATGAACCATAAATATCTTTTAGTGGAAATATATATATTTTTATTTGAGTCAGATAGAACTACTATTTAATCACTTTTTTTTTTCTCTATAAATGATATTTTGAAGAAATTATTCTTACTGTCTTACAATGATTATCATACAAATATTTTCATTTTAAAAAACAATACAAATCTCCCTTAACCTGTGAAATGATATATATTTTATGAAAATTCTGTTAAATTTATTTATTTAATCACACAATAAAGATTTACACATCAGTTAAACGGGAAATGATAGACACACACACACACACATCAAATTTGCTGTTTCACTTTCCCTTTCTTGCAGAAACCTCTTGTATAGCACTTTGAAGTCGTTGCAGACAACTTTGAAACGTTTCAAAATTGACTACAGGACGAGAACCAGTGGACGAATATGGGTCTCGTGCTTCAATGAATTGTTTCCAATCTTGTTTAGCCATATCTGTGCCCACATTCAGCATGCAGCGTGCAATTGCCTGTGAAATATTTCAAAAATAAGGTAACCAAGAGACCAATTCAGTGTCAGAGTTACACTCTGTAATATCATCGGTACGTAATGCTAACATAAAACTTATTCTGTACTTGGTATGGTAACACAGGAACATGTACCTTGTACAGTGGGCGCCGTGCATCTTTCAGCGATTCATCTTTCAAACATTCACATTTTAAGACTTTTTCTGACTCTCCCTGCCAATATCATATATATATATATATATATATATATGAAATCTCTCATTCCTTGGATAAATAAAGGAATTCATGACAAAGTAACATATGTATGTAGTGTTCAAAATGGATGTCAAATAATTTAAGGAACAAATACAAAAATATTTTTTTTAATAATGTTTTAGGACGAATTTTTTAAGTATATTTTCAGGTTGCGTATACATAAAAAAGATTTTGAAAAATGGGACATGGAAAAAATTATATATACGTGTCTCAAATAAAAGATCTGATTAAGAAAAATAAAATTAAGTTGAGATTTAAGCCTAAATTTTGTTTAGAAATATATTGGAAAATTGAAATTTGATACCTTGTAGATGAGCATTTCTACGAGCAACATTTCAATCTCGTAGGCTTCAAGCGGTTTGCCTGTTTTTTTGGCCTTTTCTACAGCCTCTCGAAGTATTTTCTCTGCAGAATCTTCCTTTGCACTCATTTCCAGTTTCGCCGTAGTTTGCTTCAATGCATTTTAATAGATCAGCTCATAGTTCAAATATTGAAGACAATTATTTTTCAGCTATTTATAATCTATATGCACATTTGTTCTTTTGCTAACGACATTTTTATGAAATAAAACAACATATATGAATGCAATTGTGTTGGGTTGAGTGAGGTTTAGAGGAAAAATTACTCCAAACCTATTAACATATCTCATATAGGGTTGGTTTTTATAAGAATTTTTGAGCCGGCCCAACTTGAAGTTGAGGTTCAGTCATGTCAAATAACTTTTGAATTTTCAGCAAAATATACCTTAAAGGAATATAAAAAGCTAATAAAAAAAACGTAATATTAATAACAGTGGATAAAAGAACATGAATTATGTGTGTTTAGGAAACAGTTTAATTAAGTGTTTATTCAATAAATTATTATTACATGAAAGCTTATAACATAAATTAAATCATGAAATTTATTGGAATAAGCTGAAAAAAATAATTTATTTTAACAAGTTATATTAAAGAAAACTTATTAAGAGTGTCTGAAATAGCTTATAGAGAATTTATAAAAATAATCTATGAAAAATAAATATTCAACTAATCTTTTAGCATTTCAAAATAATTTTTGTTAGCTTACTTCAATAAAATTTATAATCAAATTTATACTACTGGTTCTCATGTAATATTACCTTATTAAATATATACTTAATTAAACAACCTATTCAAACAAACATCGAAATAAACTAGAAGAAAGTTTATAAAAGTCATTTTCACATGCTCTTTTAAACGCTGTCTAATCTAAACCTTCCCCAGTGCCAAATCAAAGGGATAATTTTCTATTCAATATTTATTCTACAAGATTTCAAGGACCATTTTGAGAAAATGTAGATGGTTTCTAGCACTTTATTAACAATAACAAGAACAGGCAGGTGAAATATATTAACATGTCAAACCTGAATCTTCATAAAATCAAGATGTTCTTCTTCAAGTAAAGCCTTTAGAAGACTCTCGGCTTTGTCTAATGTGGCTGGATTTACTAGAGCTTTCTTGTAATCTTCCTTCACCAATCTATCCAATACTTCATTACCACTATGGATTTCTCTGATGATCATGGATCTGGTATAAACAACAGGATTGAGCTTGGGCTGGGCTGAGTCACTAAGCCATCTGTTTAACCTATAAATCAAAAGAGAGCCTAAGATGGCAAATGATATTGCTGGCATGGCATTTATCCCATATTTAGAACTGATATGTGACATAAAATTTCTCCCATCATCACAATAACTTTGAGCAAGAGAAAAATTACAAAACTTTTCCATCAACTGGTTCATAATAAAGTTGTATTCTATTTCCACGAAGAAGAAGAAGAAGAACTTAAATGAATGTTTTTCTCAAATCATTCAGCAAAAGAACCAAAGCGAAGGCACTTTAGACGTTGCTAGATTTATATAGCTAGTGAAATGTCATCAAGCATTATGATTCTAGTATTGGACAGGGGTGAAGAAATGAATATCATTTCCCAATATTCCTTCCTTGAATTGCTTTTAAAAGAAATCCCTTGTTCCAAGTAAAGATTTATACCCTTAGTCCATAAATGATAAGTGCTTAGTGAGGCTATAAATGTGTCAAAAACTGAGATTCTTCTCCAAGAATTTGTAACATGGGAACCACTTCAGCTATGAAAATATAGATTAAGAAAAGTCCATTTTCCTCGCTTGTAACATTACATAAAAAATCGGCATGATAAAATAACTTACGATTATAAAAAATAATTATATTTGAAAAAACGATATATAGTATCATCACAAAGAATTCCATACTAAATTAATCAACTTTTAAGGAAGAGCACTCAAGAGTCAGGTTTTGAGTTCAACTTTTATCTGCTTCAATTCGCATATTCTATTTAACTTTTTGCAAGGCCTTTTTGGTAGATAATCTCCTCACTTCATGTTAATGTTGGGCCCATTCAAGCCTGCCACAATTCTTGGGTTTTAAAATTTAAAAGTACAGTTCGCTTATAATACAAGACCAAAAACGAACAAGTTCGAAAAAAAAAAACCCTAAACTTATTCAGAAAGGGTATGGACTCTGGACCCAAAAAATAAGAACTCGGCTTGAAATTGGAAGGGGCGTAAGTTCAACCCAATTAAAATTTAACCACATAGTTTCCTCTTTGAATTTTATCTAAGCAAAAGAAAAATCAAAATCAACTTTGCTGCACCAATATTAAAATCGTTATTCTAGAGAAACACTAAGATTCAAAAAATTTATGCGTAATATACCAATATTATTAAATTAAAATAATTTTATATAAAAATTAAATACATATTACATAATTAGTTTTAAATTTAATAGTTTTTATATGTTTAAAAAGAAAAATATTTTATGATATCAAATGAGACTAATTAAAATAGTATTTTAAAAATTATAAAATAAATTATATAAAAATTAATTTAAAAAATAAATATTCAATATGAGTTTATGCCATAATAAAAAAATGATTATTTTTTAAAAAAAATTCATTTCAAATTAATCGAGAAACACTCTCATTTAAAAACAACGGTTTAGGTTCAATATATAAAAAGATATATGCCCCAGAATTTTGAAATTACACAACCTATCATTAGTTGATGGAAACAAAAAATGTTGACGAACTTAAATGAACTTCAGTTATAACTAATTAATAGATCGTGCATTGTATTAATATTATTAAATTAAAATAAAATTATAATAAATAATTTCATGTATACTAAATTTTACAAATTAAAATATTTATTATTAATAAATATTATATCAGCTTAAATAATATTAAATTAAGAAATAAATTTTAAAATTAAAAATATTTTTAAAAATCAAAATTTAAAAACTAAATTTAAATAAATATTTTAAAGATTATAATAATCTTAAATTTTGATTTATATAAAAAAGAAAATATCTTTAAAAGAAGCACTAACAATATTTTAATAATACAAAATATTTTGATTTATCTCATGTTTATACACGAGCCTGATTGAAAAAAAAAAAGAAAAAAATTGTGACATGCCATTTCTTGATCTCCGAAAACATAAATAATAATGAATGATAAAATTTAATAATATAAAATGACTATCTAATACATGTTTATAATTAATAAATATAATATGTAATAATATTGTTTTCAATAAACCGAATATTTAATATCAAATAGTAGTAAATTATTTTTATGTATACATGTGGTGCCGTGCTGTTGGAATCACATTAATGGAGAAAAACAATTATTTGAGATTAGTGACAGTGGCGACTGGGATTGTATTAATAAGGACATTATGGCAACCATAGTAACGATAAAACCGTTGTAGGAATCGTGCCAACGACAGTAACGATGATTAGTGGTCATGGGATGATGTTTCGGCTCACAGTGGCCAAAAATAAAAAGTTTTGACAACAGCATGATAAGATTGAGATATATACCAATTTAACATTTTTCTGTAAAAAATAAGAAAATAATATAAAGAGTAAATCAATGTATTATATGATAAATATGATTGTAAATCATAAAAAAGTAAATGGATAAAAATAATAGAATAATCAAGATATTTGATATTAGAAATGAAAAGAATAAGAGAGAGAGAGAGAGAGAGAGAGAGAGTAATGTATTTGGATGAAGGGGTAATATATAGAGATGAATTAATGGGGCTTTAGTGGGTAAAAACTGAAAACCAGTGGCTGAAGCATAGATAATGCGCGTGATATATCTTTAGGGGGTGGATGTAAGTGTCAATGTCTGGGCAGTGGCATGATGTACAGAGAGGCTAATGAAGGCTTTTTGGAAAAGCAAGAATCGAATCCAAGTACAGTCACGGCTTTCAAAATTTCAACTTTGGAGGAGAAGTGAGAGGGAGTTGCATACGTAAAGCAGTGTAAACCGTTTATTAAGGATGACATGGCCACCCATTGAGGCATCAATGTTATGTGTGATGGGCACAATTGGGGCAGGGAAGGACCATACCATAGCATATAAATATAGAGAATATGTGTTGACGTGTTGGCACCTCAGCAAGGGACTGTCAAGATGGTGCAAGGCATTGCCACGTGTGGGGGGATTTCTTCCCCAAAGTTAGGCTGAGAGAAGAGAAGGAGTGTGAAAGTGATTGAGAGGGAGGGCACCCCACAACTCTTCAAAAGTGTGTGTGTGTGTGGAATGGGGTTTTCAATGTGTTGTAATAACAACTGCACCTTCCTGTGCTCCTAAATAAGGGCCGTCAAATGCCCAGCCTGCCAAAAATCTGTACATACTTGTCTTCGCTGTCGGATAAGAGGACCAACACCTTCTCCAGGGTCTATTTTTATCTGTACCTTTCTTTCACTCTTTTTATCGCCTTTTTCTTCCTCTCATTCTTTTTATCTATAAATTCCTTTTCATTTCATCTTTCAAAAATTACACAAATATACACTTTCAAAACTTTCACATATTTACCCAATTACAGATTATTGGTAACAACTTTGTTACATTATACTGCACTTGTTGTGCTACCACAAACACCTGCAGTAGGTTGCTTTATAAAATTTACTTTGCTTCTCAATTTTAAAGTGTAGATATAAGTTTTATATATTCGGTATAAAACCTTTGGAAAGGTTGGATTTAATCTTTTTTAAAGTTTAGTCTGACAAGAAAAAATATTATAAATTTAATACAATAATAATTGTATTATTATTAAGTTGACTTGTTAATTTTTTTAAAAAAAATAAGACTTTTAAAAATATATATAATCTTTTAAAAGTTTTAAGTGATTCTAATATTCTTCTATCTTTTGTAAGAAATAAAAATAATACTTTTTGATAAGTAAAGTAAAATTAATATTGAGCTATTAATATTTGTAGATAGAAAATGAATAGTTAAGATTGATAGGTAAAAGTGTTAAGAATCAAGAGTATCATGTGACTATTTTAGTTAATAATATATTAATGAATGATAAATAGGTAAATTGTTATTTTTTCTTCATATTTTTCTCTCTATTTCTGTGGCAACTCTTCCATTTTCATCTTTCTCTTTTTTTCTCAACCTCCTTCATTTCTATTTTTTTTTATTAAAACTCTAAAATTAGTTGGATAAAACTAAGCTTTGATAGTAATATAGAACTAAAGTTTGATAGTAATATAGATTTTTGAAAAAAAATCTTTAAAATCAGACGAAACCTCACCCGAAACTACAGGAAAAGTGCTATTTTGTATCACACATCTTACCCCTCTACTCTTTTTGTCTATGGTCATCAATTATTTGAATCACTGTGAATTACTCTTTGTAAATCAATTTTTACCTATAACCATCAGAGAAGATGAAAAGAGACTAAGAGAAGGCAAAAAATGGAGAAGACAAAAAAACGTAAAATTCTACATTGGTTCTTTTAGAACATTGATGTTGAAATTATATTTTAAAAAAACAACAACTTTTACACGAGTTTTCTTAGATAACTACTATAGAAAGTAGAGACATAAACAAAACAGCTTTCTACATCAATTTTCTAAAAGAACTGATGTCGAAGATATATTAAAAAAAAAAACGTAACTTATATATGAGTTTTCTCATATAACTGATGTAAAAAATAGTGACATAAACTAAATAATTTTCATATCAGTTTTCTATATATATTTTTACACTAGTTCTCTCATAAAATTGAGATAGAAAGTAATGAAAAATTTTGAATGTTGTTATTTTTAACATCTTAAACTTTAAAAGAGCACATCTATATACTTTTCTTTTAGGAGTTTTTTTTTTCTTTAATTTCTTCTAACTATCCATTTGATAATCAAAGATAAATAGTAGCATAAGAGATTGGGCTGATTGAGTACTTTGCAATCATCGAATTGCTTTGGTGAACCTTTAAGCTTGAAGGTGTAAAGAAAAATATACAATCTTCATAACATTTTTGTACTATAGAGTTTGCTCTTACAAAATCCAAAATAACTATTGCAAGGAGAAATTATCGTTTATCGCTTCCCACTGCCAGGAAAGATTGTATTCATATATAAATTGATAACATTGACGTCAGCTATAATTTAAAAAGGTTTTTTAATTTTTTTTATGTAAAAAATTCTATCATTTATGAATCTTTAATGATGTTAATAAGATAAGAATAAAATAAAAAGAAAAAGAAGAAGATGACGACGAATGAGGAACACGAACAATATTTTAAAATTTCAACATTTTCTAAATTGTTTAGCTTTTTTTTCATATTTTATTGAATAAAGAGTTTTATCATTTACAAATCTTTTATGAGATGAGAATAAAAAAGGAAGAAAGAAAAAACAAATAAATAGAAAAAGTAAACTAGAAACACAAAGAAAAATATGA